TCCTCCCAGTCCTGTGCCTTCCCTGCCCAAAACCATCCAACCACCCAGTTCCACTCCTCAGAGGCAAACTTGCTTACTTTTCCAGAGATTATTTTATATGTATGTAAATCAATGTTGTTGTTTTTTCAGAGTTGCCATTTCCTACTATGGTGTCCCCTAAAGCCCAAAGACAATGTCACCTAGCATTATTATTACTACTATTACCCCCATGTCACAAAGACAAAACCTGAGACGTTGGGAGCTGGACTGAACTGCTGAAGGTCTCACAGCAGGACAGCCGAGGGTCTGGATCTAAGGATGGCTCTCTGACCTGGGCAGGCCCCTGGGTCGTGCTCTTCCCAGTGTCCCCTTAGTGTCTGTATCACTCCCTCCTCAATCTCCCCTGCCTCCCTTCTTTCCTGTTATCTTTCTGCTGGCTGTAATCACTTAGAAATCCTCACCTGCCTGGAGTGTTGCTAAATTTGAATCACAGGTGGGAGGACCTTAAAGACAGAGTCCAACCCCTACACTTTACAGACGGGCAAACTGATACCCTAAATAGCTCCTGCACATGGTCAGATTTCTACATCCAGCCTGGCTCAGCTTTCTGGCCTGTCTGCCCAAGTCCCTCCTGCTCTTGCACTCTTTGCATAAACAGCCAGCCAGCTCTTCATGTGGGAGCATCCCTGGTTTTGCATCTTTCAAAAACACTCATCTCACAGGTCCGCACCTTCCTAGCAACACTCTAAGGGTCAAAACGCTGGCCCTGCTCCCTTCTCTACTCTCCTCCTGCGACAGGCAGAATCTTTCCCACGCTGTTCCAACCTGCTGTTCCCCCTCTCACCCTGACTTGGTTATTAGTCTTTATCCTTCAGTCTCAGATCTCCCTGGTGACCAATCCAGAGGTGCTCGCAGTTTTTCCCTCAGCTCCAACCTCACTGTCTCTCCCAGCTTCTATCCTGGGCTCTGTAGGAACAGTGCCTAGGCCTGTCTTGTTCACCACTGTCTCCAGTGTCCAGCGCTGTGCTCCACCCCTCCACCCCTAGTATATAGGCTCAATCAACGTTTTATGAACAGATGAACGAATGAACCGTCCGGCAGAGGGAAGTGCGTGATCCCAGGAGGGAGGTGTGCAATCAAAGTTGTGTGCAGGTGATACCAAGCGTTCGTTCCTGTGGAAGTAGGTCGAGATGCGTGCGGGGGGTAATTTGGAGAAATAAAGTTAAGCTGTTCTCTTCCATCTAATAAGCGCCTTGGAACATCTGCACCAGGCCGTGTGCTGACAGAGAGCACCCAGGCGGGACAAAGTGCCACCCCGTCAGTCCTGTGAGGAGTTCTAAGCACTTGAGTCTGACGAAAGCCCCCCCTCCACAGAAGCACCTGCACAGCCTGTTCTGCACATAGTCCGGCGGGGAGCACAGCTCTCACAAGTCCACTCAAGGACCACGGCTTAAGCACCCCTAGTCTAGGTGGAACCAGCAAAATCAAATGAGTGCTTGGAGCACGAGCCAGCCTGCGACAGAAGTGAGGAAGGAACCCAGGGCTTCAGAGGACCTCGCGGGGACAAGGCCTCTGAGGCAGGGAAGGGACGGCGATGGGAGGCCCTCGGGTCCACACTGAGAAACTCGTCCCATTCTCCAGACAGAGGGAGACAAGAAAACCTTTCAGGCGAGGAGCTCCCCCATCTCCAGGCCGGCTCAGCAAGATGACGCAGGCGGCGCACGAGGCCGCGCCTACACGCGACCACCCCGCCCCCGCCCGGTGCATTGTGGGGCTTACAGTCACCATCCGGGCACCGGTCTCGCGAGCGAGCGAGATTCACGCGGATGACAGCGATTGGGCGGGCAGGGGATGACAAGGCTTCCACTCCTGGGAGCAAGAGTCCCGCCCCCCGGCCGGGATGGACCAATCCCAAGGCCTCTCCTTCCGGGCCTCGGGGATTGGTCCGAGAGCGCACATGATCCAGCGCACGTGACCAAGGCGGCGGCGTCTTTCAGTCGGGTTAGTATCCGCGCGGGGGAAGGGCCTTAGAGACCCAGACTCGAAACCAGGGTTCCGGACAGCGAAGCTCGTGGCCTGTCGGCCGAGTCTCGACCTCCACACGGGGCGACAGCAAGTCGGGTTCGAATAGTTGCTAAATTAAAAGCCCGCCTAAAACGTGAGCTGGACCTCAGTTCCCTCGCCTGTGAACCAGTGTTGGCGGAAGAACAAGGTTGCCCGAGGCCCATGTGAGGCTAGGGGCGTGGAAGTGCACTGCCCAGTAGGAAGCGGGCCGAGTGCCTGGCGGGACTCAGCGGCCCTGGGGAGCGGGCAAGCGGTTCCATCTGCCCAGAAAGGTGACCGTGGTTCGCGGGTTGAGCAGAGCAGAGCCCCCTGCCTTGGCTGACTTCAGCGACCAGTCGTACATAGTGGGTATGTGGCGGACCTGCGCCCTCTAGGTGCCGACCGCTTGACTTTTGTTGTCTTAACTAGATCTTTACAACAGCGGTGAGGGAGTCAGTGTCATAGAGGGCGAGACTTTGCTGAGGCTGCACAGCCTGGAAGTGAAGGAGCCACGCTTGGTTGTAGGCGTCAACCTGCTCAACCGCAGACCTTCCATGAGATGGCTCTTGCGCCCTGAGGGGGCGTATGCAGCACCCCCAGAAGGGGCTTGGCCCTAGTCCGTGGGACCCCCACCTATCACTCCTGTTCCTAGCCTTGAAACGGGGTTCCGTTTTCCTGATCAGGACCGGTGTCTGGAAAACCTTAACGAGTTCGTGGCCTTATGGGACCATAATTAGGATGCTGGTACCGCGGGCCTAGAAATGCGGTTTTCACCGCCCAGGGAGGGGCTGCCCCTGAGCAGATTAGGCATGGCAGCCGCCTCAGAATGCTCCCCTCGCCCCCACCCCAAGTACCAGAGCCACCCACCGCCCCAGCAGGATGCCAGTTCCTCCAGGAGGAGGGGCTTTCCAACAGATGGGGTCGTCACAACAACCCCAGCCTCACTTTCTTTTTTAATACTTTTTGGGGGGTTGGAGAGTTTTGGATTTACAAAAAAATGAGAGTACAAAGTATTCATACTCCCGGGGCACACACGCATACAGTTTCCTTTATTATTAACATCTTACATCAGTGGCCCATTTGCTACAATTGATGAAACAATATTGATACGTTATTGTTAACTAGAGTCTCAGATTTTCTTAGTTTTTCCCTGGTGTGTTTCTTCTGTGTCAGGATACTGTCAGGGATACTGCATGACAAGTGATTTTCCACCTCACTTTTTTCATTCTGAAGGTGCAGTGCTGAGAGAGGAGGTTAAAGAAACACAGAATTGCTTAACATTTCCTTGGCTTTAAGTCTGAGTAAATGCTAGGGAGGGGGCTGCCGCTTGTGGCTGCATTTTGGTGGTGTGGCTGACAGGTGACAGCCCAGTGGGGTGCTGGGTCCTTGGACAAGGTGGGCCCCTAAGGAGGAACTTCCCCCCAGAGTGTTCCTTCCCAGAGCTGCCCCTCGGGCTGGGGTCCTGGGAGTTAGTTTAGAGAGAGAATCTCTGTGTGGGGTGATGAAAACATTCTGGACATGGATAGTGGTGATGGTTGCACAAATGTACTTAATGCCGCTGATGGGAGCTTTGGCAGTTCCCCTGTGCTTTTTGCTACACTGGGGACTGAAAAAGGCAGCCCACGCCCTCCTGGTGGTTAAAAGGCTCTGGACACAGGCAGCATCTGAGTTTGAACTCCTCCTCTGCCTCTTGCTACCTGTGAGACCTTAAGCAAGTTATTTCTGCTTTCAACTCTGTTACCCCATCTTCAGTCCACACCGGTCACTGCGGGCCCCCGGCCCCGTGGTGTCGTGCCGCTGCTCCCAGCCTCAAGAGCCTTTCTGGCCAGCCTGCCTCGGCTGCACCCCCTGTATTGCTTGCTGGGGCCTCGCGGGCAGCTGGCCAGGGACCCCATCACCTGCCTCTCCACTCCAGCCCGGGGGTCTTCCTGTGGCCCAGGATGCCTCACCACACCTTGCTTCTCCAGGACACTTTGCCCCCAAGGGAGACTCCAGTCCTTTTTTCCTCCTCCTTGTTTTCCTGAGGGCTTGGACTGTGGGGAAAAACTCAAGCCCAAAAGACCCACAGGCACCTTCTGCTCTCAGTCCTAGGGCAGCGGGCCTAGGCCAGCTCCTGCTTGAGGGGGGCAGGAACAGGGAGACGGAGGGAAGATGTCGGTGCAGACGGTCCTGCTCTGCCCGGTTCCCGCAGGCAAGATTCTAGTTAAGTGACACCAATCCCCCAGCACGGTTCTGATCCCAGTGACCGCAGCGTGTTCACCTGAGTAACTGTGTCAAGTACCAACTGCTGCGGGCTACTCAGCCCGCAGACCGATAGCAGACGCGCCAGAGCCACCTCCTGACGCGACGCTGCCTTCAAAGCCATTGGTCACCCCACACCTGCTCCTCAGTTCCCAGGCAGCCGTGATCAACCCACTTTCCATGTTACAAAAAGGCATCACTGGCCAAAAGGTGAACGTGCAGGAGAGGCACAGAGCGCTAATACCGCTGAAAGGGCCGCTCGGGGGGAACAGTGACGGGGCCCTGGGAGGAAGAGCTGACAGAGAGGTCGCAGACTCTGCCGCTGCTCCAGAGATGGACATGCATGGCCGGAGGAACCTGGTGACACAACGTGTAGACATGAGTGAGGACGGTGACGAGAAGGATGAATACGCCTCAAGGAGGTGGTCCCAGCAGAAAACTTCACGGTAAAGGGCTCAGAGGTGTTTCAGTCACTGACAGTGCAAAGATCATGGTGGAGGCTGATCCAGACCTAGGAGGGACAAGACCCTTCACCGTGGAGGAGGGAAGACATTCCCCCCTGTTGTAAGTTACACAGTGAGCAGAAGGTGAGCTCTGTTCCAACTACTGTTGACAAGTTTTTTTTTTTAATCATAAAATACTATTATTGGAGCATCTGCACCATTAAAGAATTTTATTTTAATTTAAAATATATAAAAGAAAAGTATGTTTATATATAAAACCTTATTCATGTATTTGCCAATTGTACTAGATACATAGTTGCTTTCAACCCTCCTTTAACCCCTTATCTATTTGCAGAGCTTGGAAAACTCTGCAAAAAATCTATGTTTCCCAGACTCTCTTGCAGTATAGTCGATTAAAATGTTTCTGGTGTACAGCATAGTGATTCAGTTGTATATTCCGTTCCGTATTCTTTTTCATTTCATTTCATTCTTTTTCATTATAGGCCATTACAAGGTATTGAATATAGTTCCCTGCGCTCTACAGTAGGTCCTTGTTGTTTATCTATCTTATATATAGTAGTTAGTATCTGCAAATCCCAAACTCCCAATGTATTCCTCCCCACCCCCCATAACCATAAGTTTGTTTTCTGTATCTGTGAATCTATTTCTGTTTCATAAATAAGTTCACTTGTGTAATTTTTTTATTCCACATATAAGTGATATCATGTGGTATTTTTCTTTCTCTGTCTGATGTACTTCACTAGTATGATCATCTCTAGGGCCATCCATGTTGCTGCAAATGGCATTATTTCATTATTTTCACGGCTGAGTAGTATTCCATTGTATAAATATACCACACCTTTATCCAGTCATCTCTCAATGGGCATTTAGGTTGCTTCCATGTCTTGGCCATTGTAAATAGTGCTGCTATGAGCACTGGGGTGCATGTGTCTTTTTGAATTAGAGATCTCTCTGGATATATGCCCAGGAATGGGATTGCTGGAGCATATGGTAAGTCTGTTTTTAGTTTTTTAAGGAATCTCCGTACTGGCTATACCAAAGAGATTACATTTTGCCATTAAACACACCCATGCAAGCCTTGGGAGGTAATCTTTCCCAGGAGATTAGGAGAATGGGTGTCAAGGAGGCTCTGGCAGCAGCTGGACCCACATCCCACTGCCTGGTCACCTGCTTTGGGCTGCAGGCAACCAGACAGGAGCAAGCCCCTGACTTCTTATGACAACTGTGGCAGTGGAGTCTTAAGCACTGTTCCGAGGCAGCCCCTGATGTCTGTGCCTCTTTGCATCTGACTCCCTCTATGAAATCCCTTTCTACTTGAGATACCTGGAGTCTTCTGGCCTGAATGCTGAATAAGCTAGTCAACCATGGCTTTTATATAAAGCCCAGAGCCTTTTGTTCAGGGAAGGGTCCCCTAATAGAAATGCCACACGGTCTTTCCTGCACAGCCCGCACCCCCATCACAGATCGCGTACCATTTCCAGTCTCAGTTTCTTTACGTGGAGCGAGAGCAGAAAGGCCCTACGGGAGCTGTGGGCATGCTAGATACTTATGGTCCTCCCCACTCCCCCGCCAGCGTCTCTGCTTGTCTGACTCAAGCGTAAATCAACAGTGCTTTTTAGTGACGGGCGTTTATCCAGCCTTCCCAAAGAATCCAACTTCGTTTTCATTGGACAAGCAACTCCTTTTGCTTTCAGAGTTCACTGACCTGCTATAGTGGTTTCATCTCTCCTCTCTGTGAGTTCACACCTCTTTGTCCGCAGACGTCACACTTGGCCAAGTGACTTGCTTCAGCCAATGAAATACGAGGGGAATTGATGTGTTATTTCGGAGCAGAAACCCGCGAGCCAGCAGTGGTTCTCCACATAGCCCTTTCCTTCCGCCCTAAAGCAGGTGCCATGGACTGGATGTTTGTGTCCCCCCAGAGCCATACGCCAAAGTCCTGATCCCCCCCGTGACAGGATTTGGAGAGGGCGCCGTGGGGAGGGGATTAGTTCACAAGAATAGGCCCCCTTGATCGGGATTAGTGCCCTTACAAAAAGAAATGCTAGACAGACGGTTTCTCGCTCTGGCAAGTGAGGACACAGCGGGAAGGCGGCCAGCTGTAAACCAGAAGAGTCCCTGCCGAAACCTGCCATTCTGCTTCCTGACCCTGGACTCCAGCCTCCAGAACTGTCAGAATACCCTTTTGCTGTTTAAGCCCCGCTCCCCGTGTACGGTGTTCTGTTCTACAGCTTGAATTGACTCAAACAACAGGCCGTGCTCTAGACAGGCTGTTCCATGAGTCAGTCTTCGAATGCGATCACACGGGGCGGAGTCACAGCCAACCCCGATGGACGCGTAGCTGGGGCAAGAAATGAACCTGTGTTGTTTGAGCCGCTGAGGCTTGAGCGTCATTGGTCGCTGAGGTGTAGTCTCACCTCGCGTGATTGACACAGTTACGCTGACTTTCTGTGAGGTTGTGTGTTGGAGTTTGCTCTACTGGCTTCTGTGACTGCAGCACGAAGAGCACTTCAAAAACCTCCACCTGGTCGTAACACTGATCCTGGTACAAACCGATGGAACAGAGAGGGCACAGAGCAGACACATGCGTCAGAGGAAGTCCCTGGAAGCTGACGGAAGAGCTAGCCTGGTGCTTGCCACCAGTCAGCTCGGGGTCTGGCCGAGTCTTCGAGAGGGGCAGAAAGGGAAATCTCACCGTCCGCACCTGCCGTTTCTGCTGCAGGTGTCAGTGCCTGTAAAGGAAGCTCATTTCGCAGGTCCCTCACATTTAATGACAAGACCGCGTCATCGTGAAAGTGGATCACGGGATGCTGCACACAGGCGCTGAAACCAGCGTGTTGCGATCGCGCACATCAGGGATTTGTGCCACATCAGACACAGGGGTCTTGGCCTGTTCTGCTTTGCAGAGGATACAGTGACAGGCCTGCAGGGGAGTGATCGATTCCACATTCATATCAAGTCCCCGACAACTTCACTTTCTGGCAGATGGAGTCCTGTCCCCCTTCCATCATGTAGTCTTGAAGTTTCCACAATGCAGGATCACGCTGTCTCTGGAACAGGGGCATGAATTCCCGAGGGCTGCTGGGGCGGGTGACTGCCAGTTGGGTGGCTAGAACAATGGCAGTTTGCTCTCACACAGTTCTGAGGGCTAGACGTCGAAAAAGCAAGAGTTGGCAGGACTGGTTCCTTCTGGAGACTCCGAGGGGGTCTGAGCTCTCTCTCCCAGCTCCCGGTGGTGGCTGGCAACCCTCAGTGTTCCTGGCTTGTGGTCACCTCCCTCTGACTCTGTCTCTGTCATCACGGTGTTCTTCCTGTGTGGGTCTGTGTGTCCGGGTCCAAGTTTCCCTCCTCTTAGAGGGACACCAGCATTGGACTTCGGGCCAACGCTAATCCGGAATGACCTCATCTTAGCTCAATGGCATCTGCAAAGACCTTATTTCCAAACAAGGTCACATTCACAGGCCCCAGGGGTTGGACTCCAACACATCTTTCGGCGGACATAATTCAGCCCACAACAAGTGGCCTCTCAAATCCCCAGACAGCCCTTCGAGATGCACGGAGAACTTTATATTTGTGTCACCTCTTCTCAAAGTCTTGAGGAAACGAAGGGATGACTTTAGAGCTGGGGTCGACTAGCGTATGCCTGGAGGGGCGCCTGGTGCACAGCGGGACATCACAGAACCAAGCTGTGAGAGTTTCTTCGCAGCTTGGCTTTGACGTGTTTGTAGGTAACAGTGGCTGAGGAATACTTTTTATTTCTTAACTAATATTTTTAGAATCGCCCTGTAATTCTCCTGGAGGGAACAGAAGTGCTCTGTGCCTTCGCTCAGGCCTCAGAGATTTCCTCCCCACCCACAGCGAGCAAGATGCAGTTCCAGCTACCCGGCCACACTCAGATGCGCTGTTAACCAGAACGAGTCCTTGACCTGGTGGAATCACGTCCTAGTCTGGGGCAAGGACCACACACAGGAAGCCCAAGTATATGTCGTGCAGAGAAACATGCTTGGAAGGAAAATGAAGCAATAAATAAAGGGGCGAGCGGTGGCCTCTCTAAAGGGTCACACTTGATTGGAGGTCTGGGAAGAGAAGGACCCTAGAGGAAGAACATTTTAGAAAGAGGGGAGGGCCCTCGGGCTGGGGCTGCCTGTGGCACGGGGACAACGGGAGGTCAGCGGGGCTGCGGGAGACAGTCAGAGGTGAATTTGAAGGGAGAGCCGAGGGCCAACCCCTCGGGGCCTGAGCCATCCAGTCACAGGGGCGCTGGGCAGAGAGCGACCACTCTGATCTCTGTTTACAAAGACTCCTCCCCTCATGCCTGGAGGAAGCCGCAATAGCCCGGGGTGAGGCCAGAGGGGTTGAACCAGGGCAGCAGTGCAGGTGCAAAAGGAGATCAGATTTTGCAGACATCTGTGGAGAGTGGCAGGGTTTGTTGTTGGACCAGATAGAGAGGTGAGTTGTCTGAGAGGCACCAGGGGAGCCTGGAGCACAGGGTGAGTGAGGCGGGGTGCACTGAGATGTGGAGTTCTGGAGGGGAGGGTGTGTGGGGACTCGGGACTTCTGGACAAAGAACAGGTGGAACCAATAGGAAACAGATAGCAAGATGGTGACTAAACCCAGCCATATCGATAAACCCCATCCCCCCAGGTAAAGCACAGAGATTGTCAGGATTTTTACAAAACAAGAGCCAACTGGCCTAAACCAGCAATTCTCTAATGAAGACATACAAATGGCCAATAGGCACATGAAAAAATGCTCAGTATCGCTAATTATCAGAGAAATGCAAATCAAAACTACAATGAGCTATCACCTCACACCAGTCAGAATGGCCATCAGTAAAAAAAGTCCACAAACAATAAATGCTAGAGAGGGTGTGGAGAAAAGGGAACCCTCCTACACTGTTGGTGGGAATGTAGTTTTGTGCAGCCATTATGGAAAACATACGGATTTTCCTCAAAAAACTAAAAATAGACTCACCATATGACCCAGCAATCCTGCTCCTGGGCATATACCTGGAGAAAACTCTAATTCAAAAAGATGCACGCACCCCAAAGTTCACAGCAGCACTGTATACAATAGTCAGGACATGGAAGCAACCTAAATGTCCATCAGCAGATGACTGGACAAGGGAGTTGTGGTGTATTTATACAATGGAATACTACTCAGCCATAAAAAAATAAAATAATGCCACTTGCAGCAACATGGACAGACCTGGAGATCATCACTCTAAGTGAGGTAAGCCAGAAAGAGAAAAAATACCATACCATACCACTTATATGTGGAGTCTAAAAAAAAAAAGACAAATGAACTTATTTACAAAACAGAAACAGATTCACAGACATAGAAAACAAACTTACTGTTACCAGAGGGGGAAGAGGGTGGGAAGGGTTAAATTGGGAGTTAGAGATTTACAGATACTAACTAA